CTTCACTCTCTCCCATCGAGCCTGCGTCGTGACCACTAAACACTACTTTTGCGCACTGTGTGCGTGTTATGCGTGCGATGTGTGGTGTAGCTGGCCGCTGTGTGCACCACCCTGGGCGAGTTGCCGTACATCCGCTATGCGCGCTCGCCCGTGGCCACCACCCTGGCCGCCGCCACACAGGACGCGCTCGACGACCTCAGCGCCGACGACAAGGCCCTCCTCAAGCGGGGCGACAACCGGCCCACGCTTCTCATCCTGGACCGCACCATCGACACCGTGGCCCCGGTGCTCCACGAGTTCACCTACCAAGGTGCGTACGCCGCACTAGTGTTGTTCATACATTCCTTCACATTCCAAAGCGCTCAACGTGTCTTTTTCCCCCGTTTTTTCTACGATGCAGCGATGATCTACGACCTGTGCGAGGTGGACAAGGAGTGCACGTACAAGTACAAGTACAACAACGGCGGCAAGGACATCACCAAGGAGGTCCTCCTCGACGAGTACGACTTCCTCTGGCCCAAGCTGCGCCACATGCACATCGCCGACTGCATCAACAAGGTAACACCCGCGCTCCACCTCTACTCCACAATTTTTTGACTGACGCCATCATTATGAACGTCCATGTATTACATTGTCTACTATAATAGGTGATCGACGACTTCAACGCGTTCCTGAAGACGAACAAGGCGGTGAACCTCAAGTCGGCGTCGTCCAAGAAGGGCGTGGCTTCGCTTCGGGAGATGACGGCGGCCATGAAGGAGCTGCCCCAGTTCCAGGACACCTTCGCCAAGGTGCGCTTTCCTCGCTTGTGCGAGGCATCACTCCTCCGGTGTGCTGACGACTGTGTGTGTGTGTGTGTGTGTGTGTCGACAGTACTCGCTGCACATCCGACTCGCGGGTGAGTGCATGGAGAAGTACCGCGGCCAGGAGCTCGAGCGGCTGGCCATGGTCGAGCAGGACCTGGCCACCGGCGTCACGGCCGAAGGGGGCAAGGTCAAGAAGGACAAGGTGCTCGCCGCCCTCGAGGAGATCCTCACCGACAACTCCGTCCCCTCCGCCAACAAGACGCGCCTCCTCATGATCCACCTCACCACCGAGGGCGCCCAGCCCTCCGACCGAGTACGCCTTCACCACCGTGCGTGTCGTTGGTCGTGTCTAATGCGTGTGACTCATTGACACGCGCCGTTGACAGGCTTTCGCGAGGCTGCTGGACAAGGCCAACCTGGGCCGCCAGGAGAGGCAGCTGGTGGAGAACCTGGCCGCCCTGCGCAGCACCCTCGACGAGATGGGCGAGTCGGAGGTCCAGCAGTGGGAGAAGAAGAGCAGCAAGAGCGGCAAGAAGAAGTCCGAGGAGGTCCCCTACGCCGTCTCCCGCTACGTGCCCGTCGTCAAGCGTCTCGTCGAGGTACACAATCACCACCCGGCCTCGAGGCGTGTGCTCGTGTGCTCACGACCAGCGTGTGTCATGTCATGTGTGTTGTGTCGTGCGCGTGTGTCATCATCGGGTGTAGAGCATGCTCGAGGACCAGTTGCCGACGTCGGAGTTCCCGTACTACGGCGACGAGCCCCGAGGAGGTGCGGCCAAGGACACCAGGAAGAAGGCCACTTCGCTCAAGACCCAGACCAGGGTGCGGTCGACCAAGGGCAAGGACAGGATCGACGGTGACGCGGTTCGTGACCCCCCCCCTCTCTTTCTTCTGCGCGTCACTCGAGTGATCGCTCGAGTGTTCGCTGGACCCAAGCTCTAAACACCTCACCTCTCCCCCGCCGTATGTTGCCGCGCTGTGCAGGAGGACCTGGGCCCCAGGGTCATCGTGTTCGTCGCTGGTGGTATCACCCACTCTGAAATCCGTTCCGCCTACCAGCTCTTCGACAAGAGGTACCGTATCTTGTTGTGTGTGTGTGTCGTGTGTGTCGTGTCATGTTGCGCTCTTTGAACTACACTCACAGTGGCGGTGGTGCTGTTGGTCTTTGCAGGGAGGTGATCATCGGAGGCACGTCCATCCTGACCCCACACAAGTTCACCTCGCGCCTGGCATCCGTCTCGGGCGGCGACCGCCGCGGCAACGCGGACGACATCGAGGTGGGCGACGCCAGCTCCTCCGATGAGTCGAGCGACTAGACCCCCAATCTCCCCACACCCGCACCCAGCCGAGCCACGGAGTCACAGAGGCCCAAACACCTTGAGTACTTCATTTTAACAACAAACCGATGTGTCTGTATGGCCATCTTTTTTAAAACAATACTGATTCAAGCAAGCACGACTTTTGTGTTTGCTACCACTTGAGCGTGTTCTCTTTCTTGCTATTGTGGCCCAGGAAGGTTACATCTATTGGATGGCGGAGGCGGTGGCGTCGCGGGCGATGCGGTGGTGGTTGCGCGTGGCGTTCTCCATGATGCCCACGTAGCCCGGCTGCTCCTCTGCCAAACGCACAAAGTCCTCTTTTGTGCGTTTGACCACAAAGAAGCCGGCCACAGCACACAACGCACGCAAGGAAGGTGTTAGCGCTTGAGACGGCTGGTCAGGTTACGGGGGAGCGCACCTCGGGAGATGAGGCCGTCTTTGTCGGCATCGGCGGCGTTGAAGAGGGCGTCCAGTTGGTCCTCGCCGATGGTGGGGAACACCTCGTGCAGCAGACCCCGCAGCTGCTCTCGCTCGATGAAGCCGCGCCCTGGCGGAGAGAGGGGGGAAAAAACAGTGTAAAAACACCACCGACGCGCATCATCATCAGAAGAAGATGATGATGATGAAGGAGTGGTTTAGCTGCTGCACGAACCCTCTTTGTCAAAGGCAGTGAACGCCAGTTCTATGATCTGCTGCTTGTTGACCTTGCGGTTGAGGGACGACATGCCCACCACGAATTTTCTGTGTGGATGGCAGCAGCGGCGCTGTCAGCATTAGGCCTCTGGGGGTTGGGGAGGTGGTGGGCTACGCGGTACCGGAAGTCGATGGCGCCGGTCTCGTCGGTGTCGAGCAGGCTGAAGAGGTCCCGGGTGTAGGCCGAGTCTTCGGGCAGCCTGAGCGAGTGGGCGAACTCGGCGTAGGATATGAGGCCGTCCCCGTCTCGGTCGATGTGGCGGAAGCGCCACAGCAGTTGCTACGGACAGCACACGCCGCACACGCCGCACACGCACGACACACACGCATGACACACGCATATACGTGCGCAACGAGCAATGGTCAGGTGGTCGATAACGGCGCCGCGCTAAGGGATGTCAAAGCGTGCGGTGGCCCACCTTAAGGTCCTTGAGGGTCATCTCCTGGTAGAGCTTCTTCACCCTCTGCACCGGGATATTGACCCGATCGGGCTTCATGTTCAACGCCAGCGCTGCGGAGAATAGATCCTCAGTTGCGTGCTGCGTGTGCGGTGGTGCGTGTGCGTGTCAAACCTTCGACCATGAGGAGGGCGTCTTCGTAGGTGTACTCAGTGACCTCCACGCCCAGCTTTTCGGCCATGAGGTTCCGCACATTGTGGGCGTAGAGGGCCGGGTCCTGTGCCATCACACACACACACACAACAACAACAACAACAACAGCACGACACGCGCACACACACACACACACACGATAAGGAAGCAATTATAGCGGCGGTGAGGTGGTGGTGAGCCCACACCTTCTGCTCTTGGTCGGATGGTCGGTAGACGTCGAGGAATTCGATCTCCAGGTGGTTCGTGATCTGGCACAGGAGGCTCAGCATCAGGCGAGCCAGCGAGATCCCGACCGGGAACGACGGATCGAAGTGCCGATGCGGGTACTTGATCAGCACCGGCTGCAGCGGCACACCTGAACGACACACGACACGACACACGACACACACGACACACGACACATGTACCACCGCGCACGTCACGGCCGTGAAGCTGGCAGGTAGGGCACACGGGCGGGCGGGTGGGCGTGGGTACCGGGCACGAAGGCGCCCTGGTGGAAAGTGATGAGGGCCTTGCCGTTGGTGGTGGTGCCCTCGGGGAAGATGACCACCTGCGCGTAGTCGTCCTCGCCAAACTGCCGCTGGTACGCCACCTGATGATGACGATGACGACGATGATGATAACGATGACGATGACGACGATGACGACGATCGAACAACAGGTTAGTGGGCCGAAAGGTCGGCGACAGAGGCACGGGTGACGGACCTTGGGCAGAGCGGAGAGGTAGGTAAGGAATCTGGAGAATCCGAGGGCCACCGAGTTGTGCGCCAGCAGCTGCTGCCAGTAGTGGTGGTGGTGGTGTTGCTCGTCTTCGGGCGGCTGCGTAGCGGGTCCGTCCTGCTCTTTCTGTTCGACCGCCGCAGACCCGTGGCCCACAGCTCCGGCCCTCCGACAGATCTGAGCAATGCAAGTGTTGGAATGAATGGAATGCGGTGTGTGCGGTCGATGCTGCGTGCGGGGGAGGGGGGTAATGGACGGTACCAGGTCGAGCGTGTCCTTGCGGGAGGTGGTCGACCGGCGATCGACCAGCAGGCACTGCAGGGCGAGGGCCACGGTACCCACCACCGGCAGGTTCTGTGCGCGCGAAGAAGCCGGTGAGACGAATGACCACACGAACGAAGCTAAAGAACGAAGAGCGAAGAACGAAAGAACGAAGAAGAACGAACCTCGACGTCCTTCTTGGCGACAAACGCGGGGAGGTAGGCGATGAAGAGGTAGAACGGGTCCACGAACGACACGTGATTGGCCACCACGATGGGCGCTTCTCTCTTGCTGGCCGGCGTGCCTGCAGAAGAGCGAAGAGCGAGGAAGAACGAAGAACGAAGAAAGAAGAAGACGGTGGTGTCAGGCTGGAGGTGCGCGGCCCAAGAAAGGTGGTGCCGATGCCGGTGGTACCTTTGATGGAGATGGAGTGGAAGCCCATGAGGAACATGATGTAGCGCACCAGCAGCCGGCACGGGTTGAGGAAGACAACACGCCGCCACGCGGGGATCGGCCCCGCCGCGTTATTGTCGACGACGACTTCCGTCCGGCCATCCACTATGCGCTCACACACTTGGTTGTGCGCGTGCGTGCGTGTGCGTGTGCGGCATGTGTGTGTCATGCGTGTGTGCAGGTGCGGTGGTGTGCGTGCGAGTGAGTGAGATGACTGAGATCGCGCCGCGCAGGTGGTCATCGTACCAGGACGGGGCAAACCGACGACGGAAAGCTTGGCCAAGAGGTAGGTGAGAAACAGCGCCGGCACGAGGAGCGTCACGCGGATGGGCAGAAGAACCAGCGCGCCAAAGGTCAGCTGCATCGCGCCGGTTGAGGGTCAGTGGGCAATTCAAATAGCACCCTTATGGTGTGTGTGTGTGTGTGTGTGTGTGTGTGTGTGTGTCACATAGGCGAATGCTACGCACCTTGACCTTCTCGTAGAGTGTGAGCGGGGAGTCGTAGATGAACGGATTGACCGTGCTGGTGGCTTCAGGCTGCTGCTGCTGGCCATCCACCGCCGCGGGACTGGGATCGGCCGCGCTCACGAGGCCTGGCGCCGCGACACCACGTGACGAAGAAGAGGACCAGAGAGTAAGAAGTTGTTTGTATTTGAGGAATGTGCTGCCAGCGTTTGGCTGAAGGGTAGTGCCGACAGAACTCCGTGGCCCGGGGCAGGTCACGAACCTTGCTCCTGGGCCTGCTGGTGCTGGTCCTGCTGATCGGAGGCGGCGTCGAAACCGGCAGCAGACGAAGAAGCCGCGGGCGCGTTCTTGTGGCTGCTCAACTGCGCTCGGATCTCGTCGCCATGTCGGTACCAGACGACGGCAGGCACAACCTGGTCACATGTGAGGTCGTTGGTATTGTGTTCAGATGATGACGTGGCCCGTTTGTTCAACAAAGTAGGAAGAGAAGAAGCTTCGTACGAAGAACGAAGCGACGGCAGCGATGTAGACCAGGCGCTCGCCGAAGGAGGGACCCTCCTTGCCCGGTGGCGGAGGCGGAGGCGTATTCGCCGCTGCGGACTGTAGGCACGCACGTACGACACACACACACACAACACAGTAAGCAAAAAGCTGTGTACGTGCACATGCGGGAAGGATGAGGCAAGGCCGGTGCGCACTGGGTTTCTCCGCCTGAGCTCCTGCTGCGCTTTGCTCACGTACGTGCGAGTCGCTCCGCTCCTGGTGGCACTTCCAGGTGAGCTGAGGCAAAAACAAGCCGGCAGAGCAGGGCTCTTCGAGCACCTTTGCAGAGCGGCCTGGCCAAGAGGACGGAGGAGGTGGCCCCGACCAACAAGCGCTTCGCGCCAACAAATCGGCAGCACAGCACCGCGCCTGTACCCACTGCAAAGTAACAATGATAATCATAAGAAAGAAAACAAACCTGTTATTTGGAAGGCGGATGTGAGTACTTGGCAGTCGGGCCGCTAGAAATACCACTGGCTGTGAAGCCAGTAGGAGCCAGCCTTGTGAAGGGCGCAGATGCGGCGTGGCGCAGACCCTTGGCCAACCCTCTCATCTTGGGCCAGTATACTGATTTTCCCGCCAGAATACCAAAAAGAAATGTATTTTTCTGTTTCACTTCATCTTGATTGTGGTCAGTATTTTTCCAGAGGGATGCAAACAGGCAGTTGGTGGGGATAAGAGAGGATTGAAGAAGCTGCTGGTGTGAGGAGGGGCAGGAGCCTCAGAGGTGTTAGTCCTTGGTGTAGTAGAAGGTGATGGTATTGGTTCAGTTAAATTTATGATGTGTTGTACCACAGGAGACAGGTTAGTTTTACCCTACTGATGGTAAAAAGTACACAAACAGACATGTCATCGTCATAGTACACTTGTGGTGTACACATTTTTAAAGGTGACATTTGTACACAGAGAACAAATCAAGGTGAAAGTGCTGCAGAGGGAGAAAACAGTGAGAAACTGTTGTTGAGTGAATTTTGTGGTTGATTTGGGTTGTGAGTGTTGTTGGTGAGCAGGAGATAAGTTGGTTACCCTGCATGCAGCTGATCTCAGATTTATTTCTTGGCGGCGTCACTGCGCAAGACTTGCGCAGCGGCGGCGGCAATGCTGTGCGCCAGCTTGGGCGGCACGGCGTTCCCGATCTGTCTGAACTGCGAGCTCTGTGAGCCGACAAACTGGAATGTGAGCGGAAAGGACTGGAGCAGGGCGGCTTCGGTGACGGACAGGCGGCGGATGTAGGGCGGAGGCTCCTCCGAAGAGACCTCTTCGCCTCTGGTGAGCCGTTGATGGTGCTCCTCGAACCACGAGGGCCCGCCGGAGCGCAGCGCCTGCTCGTCGATGACCGGCGTCTTGTTGCCGCCCATCGAGGCCAGAAGGGTGTTGATCGGTGCGTGGAGATTCACCGGCCTGCCGCCTCCATTGAGCAACAGACCGGCGTAGGGCGACTTGCGCAGATCCGGATTGCGTGCAAGGGTTACCTTGGCCTTGCACGCGCCCATGTTGGGGTGCTTGCCCGGCGGGGGCAGGCCCTTGAGCACGTCGTACACGGTGTACATGCACGGGTCGAGCGGGTCGACAGCGCTGATCGGGTCGATGTGCTTGGCAGTGCCGATGAAGAACACCCGCTCCCGAGACTGCGCGACGCCGTAGTTGCGCGAGTTGAGGATCAGCTGGTTGACCTCATATCCGTGGTCTTTGAACTCCCGCATCAAACGCTCTCGCACATTTTGCCACTTCTGGTGCGTAGCCAGCGCCGCTACGTTCTCTTTACCCCGCACATTGCGGGAAAGAAGAAAGTCAGACTATACAGAACCTCAAAGAAGCGAAGCAAAGCAAGATGAAAACGGCCAACATACCCATGACGAAGACGCGTGGCTGCAGCTCCCCCACCAGCCGGGCGAACTCCCACACCAGAAGATTACGCTCATCGCTCGAATCCATGTGGCCTCCCACGGAAAACCCTTGACTGTGGTTGTGTCAGAGGCCAGAATAGCAGAGTCTTGGCGGCCAAGGAACGGGTTTCGGGAGTACCAGGGAGGTCCTCCGATGATGACATCGCACGCAGGAAGCTTGTCGCCGCGCAGCGACTTGACATCGCACTGCTTGGCATGCTTACCGATGTTCTTGCGGTAGGTGTTAATCGAATCTTGGTCATTGTCAGCCGCGAAAACTATCTTGAACCCGGCGTTTATGAAGCCGAGATCAAGACCTCCTGCTCCACAAAACAGGCTGACAACCGTCAAAAGCTACAGCAGAGGGTCAGCTTCATGAAGTTCCTCACTTAATTCAGGCCAGCGCAAGTTACCTCTTCTGCTTCAACGTTGCTACTCGCGGCCTCTTGAGCGTCTAGCTTTCGCTTCTTCTTGGAAAAGGAAGACAAGGCCAGTTGCTCCTCGTCGCGCCCGCGCTTCTTGGGTTGCAGTAAAGCTGTCAGCGTGGTCTGCATCTTCGTGAATTTGGCATAAATGAGAGAGTACTCAAGAGACATGAGTACTAAAAAAGGAAGAAGACCAAATTCACGAAGATGCAGACGTAATAAGAAAAGGAAATCAGACTGAATTCAAACAGAGAGGGTGCCTCCGACGCGCGCCAACTCTGCAAGAAGGCCCTGCAGCCACCTCGCAGGGCTTCCATGTCGTGTTCGGCACGCCCGAGCATCCATTTACCAACAAGGCCGCCCGAATGCCGATACTCGGGCAACACAGAATGTGCATGCGTTTGTGTGGATATTAACGCCTGGATGTTAGTTGTGGATATCCATTTGGTTCTTCCATGTAATAAGAAAACGTCACAGGACGGTTGTTTACCAGAGGCCAACCTGTGAAAGGCTCCCAGGGATATGTCAGGACAGAGACACCGTCGGTGGCTCGAGGAGGTGGCGGTTGAGCCACTCGACGACCCGCGCGTGGAGGTGCTTGCGCTTGATCTCCTGCCCTCGCTGGTCGAGCCCGGCCCACACGCCCGGATTGTCGGCCACGAAGTCCTTCAGCGCGTCGTCCGCCATCTCGCGCGCCGCCCTTTCCGCCCCGTCCAGCGTCACGGGCCCCACCTTGCTCTCCAGACTCCGCAGCCGGTTGACGTTGACGTAGCGCTCCATCTCCCGCTCCACTTCATCGCCCCGCCGCTTCTGTCGTCGCTTCTTCCTGCCACCGGCCGTGCCCCTCCTCGTCCTCCTCGCAGCGCGGATTCGACCTCGT